TTTCTCTGCAGTGCCACCTAATCTCAGTGACCCAGCGGGTCACCTGTGGTGGGTAGACATATATCGACCACTTCATTCAGCGAAACCTGTTTATAGCTGATAACTACAGTAAAGATAGTAGAGGTTCTCCATCAGATCTAATGCAATCATCAACATGGCCAGCCAGATCTCACTGACAGCGCTAATGACGGAGGATATGAAGAACTCATAAGCATACATCGCGAATAGCACGATCATAGGATAGCAATCGACGCAGTACAGTCTTGCGTAGTATTTGGCAACTTTCTCGAAGACTATACGGAATAAGTAGAATGAGAGGAAAATCCAGAACTTTAAAAATCCATCAAGTTGCAGAGCAGTATAGTAGAGTAGAGGATAGCTGATGCCGAAGACAGCAACACAGCTTCCGATCGATACCAATACCATCGCGATTCTCTTCCTAGACCCCAGTGAGCGCTTATCCTTCGGGAGATTCTGGTAGATAATCCCAACTATCGCTAATAGTGTAAGACAACCAATAATAGGCATCCACGGTAGAGGCCAGTAAGGAGTGAACGCTGGGATTATACCGAGCCAAAATAGCTGCCAGGTACCCGCGATGAAACCAATTTTGAAGTACTTCCATACACGGCGTTCACCCCAAACGTCGGAGAGGAAGCTATTACTCCACGGAGCGAACATAAAAGAGCATTGGAACCCTAGCAGAAATAGTATAGGTAGCCATTGCCATACGGGAACATCAGTAGGGCCCGAGATCGGTATAATAAATGCTATTAGTGAGACAAGCGGAGCGAAGCAGACGATGAATGCCGTCTGATAGAGCTCAACGTGTGGTACCTAACACACGATAGGATAGAGGTTGAAGCATGCTGAATAGCTCGTAACGTGGTTATGCTCTCTGCAGTAACCGAAACTTAGCTACGTAAGGCCACTGGATCGAGAATGATCTCAGTCTAGTAAATGCGGTTCGAAGAACGATCTCCGCCCACCATATACCGTGCCCAGCATAGCATATGTCACAGGCGAAGAGGCAATATTCGGAAATAATCGATCCCTCATCGAAATCCGACTTGGAGCTCACCGAATCTCTTCGTAAGGCTCCAGAGAGTTCTTGTGAAAACTCTGGAAAGTCAGTGAGGCAATTTCGTGCGGCTTCCAAAGCTTCGGTCACTTTCTCCCAAGCGGCTTCCGCGGTCTCGAGAACGAATAAGCGGCGTCTCGCCTGAGAGGAGTTGAGGCTCGGCAGTCGGCAATGGTCAGTCACCCAACGGCCCCCATTATTGCAGTTAGGACTCAGAACCGAACTCGGAGAGCATACCACTCGACTGCTGGAAATTCCTACCCTCGCCCGTGGTCCGCGTAGCTCCAGAACGGGCGGCAAGAATTCTCGCACCGAAGATTCCGATCGTGTACCGAACGTAGTTCCCCTGACAGAGAAAGTTGATGATAATCGTGAGAGCGGCAATCTCAGAGAGCCCATGGAGCGATTGGAAGGGCTGACGCCCCAGAACGGGATGCTTACGGAATCTGGCCTGGGCAAATATCATCATTGTCGATAGTAGTAGGCAGATTGATGGAACTCATATTGAGCACCAAGAACAAGCCTGCAGTCGACGACGAACCACTACATTCACCTGCCATCGGCCTGCATCACGGACGGGAATCGTACCGGGATGCGGAGCCGTGGACAGACCATATGGTGACCAGCCCCGCCGTGCAACAAGAAGGGGACTGGCCTAATATTGATATTTTACAGCAGGCAGATTTGGCAGCGGTTTATCAGGTAAGAACTTGCACTCAGCCGCTCAATCATTTCATTTTCCCGGGCGATATCACAGCTGTACAGAGTCGCTGTCGCCCAAATGGACATTAAGCTCGAAATGGGTTTCCACACAACCGCGGCTTCGCTCGAAGTTGGAGCCTCGAATCACGGCACACACCTGGGACACGTTCCTCTACGACGTGCATTTGACCACTGCTTGAAATTGAGTGAAGTCACTCGACTTGAAATCCGGTGACTCACGCAACGAAGTACATGTTGCGAGTTTCGTGCTAGTGACAAGATCTGATAATATCTTGCGGTACTCACTAGGGCAACGCAATCTTAGCGTAGTACAACTGACAAGTCATGCATGTCAATGGCATCTTCTTCATTCAAGATAACATGCTATCGTCGTCGCAGCAATCAGCAGGAATCACATTCCTGAATTCTTCGTTCCAACTAGCTTCCGCGGAGTATCAGCAAACCTCCTCGATGGTCTCATTCCCAACAGTATAGCAGTTGCCACCATGCCATGTTGCGTTCTTGTCACCTATCCACATGAAGTCGAACGGAACCGTCATGCCAGCATTCGTATATTGAAGGACTATATAATACGTCATCAGAGCCATCTGTGAAGTAAGGAAAGGCCAAAAAAAGCGATACATTAGTCTTAGGAAAATAGATATGATAGATTCATGGTACCATCGCTTCATGAAGGTGACAAGTAATATGAAAACACCAATTTCGGCTACGATATCGATTAACAGCCTACGGATCCCACGCATGAACTCTTCGTCTGTCATATCCCAGAAGGCGTCGTGGAGCTTGGGATTCAGGGAACGTAGAACAACGAAGCAGACTAGATAATGCACAGGAGCGAGGATCTCAACAACTTCCTTGCAGATTGCAATTGTCATGATGGAGAGTGGTCGCCTGATTCTCTCATCTGTCTGAATTATCTCATCGTCGTCCATGTTGGTATTGGAGTTCTCAACGATACCAACGGGATCGCTCTTGCTCGAGAGCAACGACATTCCACCATGAGAGCCGTTATTAGTTGTTGTCTTCGCGCCATTATTATCGGTAGGCTCTCCTTCCTGAAGCTCAGATTTGGGCAAATTAGTGAAAGAAGACAGCGTGCTCATACTGGAGCCTCGCCGTGGAATGCTACGACAATCCACAGTGACTGGAAGCTCGGCTGAAACCTGCTGTTCCAAGCCGGGAAAGTTAGAACCACTATTAAGCTCCAGATTCCCAGCCACACTCCCGTCTGTAGATGGTACTATCCGCGAGAAGCTTAGACCATCCTCTTTGACACCACCAACTGCGGAAAGGGTACTGGGATCGGCAATCACGAGAGGTAGCTCCGGCGGCCACGCATCCCTGGGTTGTTTCGAATCGTCTTTCTCTATGTTCTGTGCATCGGATTCTCGGACTTCGAGGGAAGCTGGTCCGTCCGGAGTGTCCTTCCCGATGTCTCCTGGACCCGAAGATCTTCTCACATAGCTACAATAAATATAATATAGGTTTTCGCCAAGGTCCAAAGCGATCAGCAACATGGCCAGCCAGATCTGGGTAACGGAACTGATGACGGAAGCAACGAAGAATTCATAAGCGTACATCGCAAATAAAATTATTATAGGATAACAATCAATGCAGTATAACTTGGCATAATGCTTAGCTATTCTCTCAAATCCCGCTCTAAGGAGGAAAAACGATAGAAAAATACACATCTTAAAGAAGCCGTCGTAATTGAGCGACAAATAGTACAGAAGTGGACAGGCAATGGCGAAAATGAAGATGCAATTGCCGATGGTGAAGAACATCATAGTCATATCCTTCCTGGATGCGGCGGAGCGCCTATCCTTCGGGAGCTCATAGTAGACCATAACAACTCCGACCGAAAGTGTTAGGCCGCCAATCACTGGCATCCAGGGTAGAGGCCAATAGGGAGTGAAGGCCGGTACGATACCAAGCCAGAATAGCTGCCAGACACCCGCCATGAGACCTATCTTGAAGTACTTCGCTACACGGCGATCACCCCAAACATCAGACAGGAAAGTATTAGCCCATGGAGCGAATATGAAGGAACACTGGATTACAATGAAAAAAAGTACGGGTAGCCACTGCCATACAGGCAAATCCATAGGCCCGGATATCGGCATTGCGAACGTAATAAGGCAGCCAAGCGGGGCGAAGCAGGCCGCGAACGCCGTTGAGTAAAGCTTGAAGGGGGGTATCTTGATTAGGAAGGAAGGCTCCATCCGGGACACGGAGAGCAGATTTTCATAGCGCGTTGAGCACCCACCGTGTCACCACGCAGGAATCCAACGAGTTCTGGAGAGTACTCGGGGAAACCTGTGAAGCGCTCGCGAGCGGCAGTCAAAGCCGCAGTCAATTTTTGTGAATATGTTCTACTGCCGTTAGTCGAAGAAGAACGCCTCTGGGGAAGAACCTGAGCTTCAAGCTGAGACCAGATGATTCATTAAACGCGACTGAGCGTCGCAAGAATGTGATAGTCGATTCGACATACGTTATTCTCTGGTGCAATGGAAGTCTCTAGATGCAGGGACGTGCAACTTTGTGCAGGCGGCACGTTGCCCGAACCAGTCACGAGATCAACACGATCCTTCGACGTCGGTCTAAAAGAATATTTCGTTGATGATTCCGAGAGTGAAGGTTTAAAACTTACGAGGCCAAGAATAGGCCGCCCTCCTGCTCGGGATCAGCAGCTCGGTTGCTCATATAATTTCATGAACAGGATCTAATTATTAGTCTATTACACTCTAATAAAACACCAACAATAAGTTCCCCATTGCGACTCGTTTTTCAGGAGCGGGCAATAATTGCTTGTTGGTCAATCATTGGAGACAATTCGACGGATTTTGCCGGATGGAATGAGTGCCTTCGCGACCTCTGATGTTAGGAACTCCAAGGTCGCCCATTGACGAGCTTTTCAACACCCGCAAAGCGCCGAAGAATATCACACATAAGCGCTATGGAAGAGAGACATGTGGTCGTGCAATTCATATGACGTCAGGAGACATTGTCTCCGAGACGGATGCTAACCGAGGAGTGATGTCTCATATTGCTACTAGCAGGGAAGAATATCGCTAGGCTCATGTTTAATCGAAATGCGATAAAATTTCCTCATACCTAGGATGTGAACATACCATCCATCGGGTAGTTTTCGATGAATTCATTGGCAGCTTCCATGATGCAACAGAAACCCATGGTGGTTTACCCACAACTAACTGAGTCTCTGGAACCAATCATCAAGGACTCGACGAGCACTCAAAATACCATGCAGATGTTGGAGACTATGTTGATGCAATAGATACGAGCTGCGCTACGATTTACCAACAGTTATAAAATGACAGGCAAAACCACTAAGAACATCATCCACTATTGAGCCTATCTGATAAGAAAACGTACTCATCTACTACAGTCCTGGAAAATGAAAATATCATATAATGGAATCCATACAGACATTCTGAGAACCCTCATCCATGTCGAGATTAGGATAGAATCTACATGAGAACCAGCTCTATGGATCGCGACTATGCTTTTTATCTCCTCGAGGAAGTTCCATCGTTATTAATCTCATGATTCCTATCTGAGATTTCTCATTCGACTTATATCATGCGAGGGACTCGAAAGCCGACCTCACGCCAGGTCGACAAGTTCGAGGAGTGCAATGGCCTTATCCACTATATTCAAGCCCGTAAGAAACGCGCCAACGCCCTCCCATCCCCCATCTACAAAAACGTTGGGGGAACTCCTCGCAACACCGATTCTATTGTGGTGAATGACATGAGCTTTGTAAAGAGAGACTACATCCCAAATACGGGTGCCCACTGGGCACTGCCCAGTGGAACTTCATACCTCATGTCATGAACGAGGCGGGCAGAGGAGAATACACCTGATAAAAAGGATCCATACTTCGCTCTGAGTCGTATCATTCTCCACGGACAGGACGGCCATTCCACTACAGGGTATGCCTCGGTAGCAACATTTACGCAGACGCGCGGTGTACGGTGTAATACAATCCGGCAATCGCAACTTTTTGCTAATATTGCGGATTTGCCAAATGCTATAATTTCTGACAGTCTCACTTTTTTGCTCTTTTGTATGTTCTGCTTTCTCAGTTACAAAGTAATGCAATTTGAAGTAATTACAAGTAATTTGCTCCTTTGCTATTTTGTAACTGAGCCGTGTACGGTGTAGGACGATCAATATCTTCGGTACCGAAGAACGACTCAACTTTCGACGCATTGATCGAGGACCGGTTTCGTTTAGCGATGTCGATTCCTTCCGGAGGGAATTTACCACTTCAGGACTGACTCATATTTTCAGTAGGAAGCTGAGCTGCTGTTGCTTAGATCGACCGCTTCGACTACTAACATAATAGATCGCACTCGGGTCTACTCTGGTGCCGCGCTCATGTTGTCGTGACCCGGAAAAGCGGTTGACCACCAAAATCCAAGCATATGCCCATGGTCCAAGCAATTACCCATAGTCCAAGCTAGATCCCTAAATCCAAGATATAGTGAAATGATCGCATAACAGGGACAATGTAATCCAAGCGAGCGAGCGGAGCGAGCTTGTAGAAATAAAGTGCATCTTGTGATAGAATCCATGCTCTTATTTGAGGCTGAAATCTGAGCCAACTAGTCTCCCGCAATAGAGATTCATATTGTGTGCTTATACAACGCAAAGCGATTTGCAACACAACTGAATCGCTTTACTTACAATCGTTCAATTCTATTGAGGAGATAAACAATATATACACAATTCCACACACTCAGAATATGACTGTCATATTATGACAATTATGCAGATGACATGACTGATGTACTACTGTACATCCATATGAGAATCTCACAGTGGCTTGCCGTCTTCCCTCGAATGACGAACCCAGGTGCTGCTCTCGGCGCTATCAGACTCCGATCCGACAGCCTCGCACCTTTGGTCGGTCAAATGAAGCGGAGCGCTCCGGCACCATGTGGTGCTGTCTACGTCATCGAGTTCCGAAGTGGATGAAACAGAACGCTCGAGTTGGAGCGGTCTAGACTCTCGAATCCATGTCGTACTGTCAGCGTCGTCAAAGTCTCCTTCAGAGTTGGAATCTGATATGCGACAAACGGTTGGATTGAATATTCGGGTTATATGGGGATATGCTTCATCTTCAAAGACAGAGAAAACTCACGTAATTACTCTGGACGCTCTCACAACGGCGGCCATCGAACGAGAGTGATTCAGCATCGGATGAGGAGAAGCCGGGTGACGAATCAGGGTTAGATCCTTGTCTACTGCTCATATCGGTTTCGGATAGAACTATGAATGAAAGGATATCATACAGGAGGAATCAATCAGTAACATGTACGTAAATGGTCAGAGTAGTTATCATTTCCCTCATCCCTCTCGGCATCGTTCGGGGGCTCTAAAATGTGATCCTGTAGAATACCAGATTGGGCTCTATGGAAGTTCAGCATACCCGGAGCTGAAATAGCTGAATTATACCTCCCGAGAGGTGGAACTCGTCTCTCAGTCGGCCGACCGCGTCGGACTCCAGGTAGCCTTCGTTGTTCTGGAATATATCTATATCATGGTTCGAGAGTTCATCATTGCAACACATGCTACACGAAGCTCGGTGAGCGCAATCTTACCTCGGCATCGTTCCCATCGAGACTTCTACAGCATAACCGTGTGCACAGGAGGCCCAATCCCTGCTCTCTTTACAGTTGCAAACTATTG